CTTCCCCAGCATATAGCTGTTCTATGGCTGTCTTAATCGTTTTGCTTTGTAACCTCTAACAGGGCCTTCAATGTGCTACTAGCAGCAGGGTCATTCTGTAAATGAATCTGATGAATGTCTGTTTTTTCCTTTTTTTTTTTTTTTTTTTTTTTTTTCTTGTTTGAAGGGGTAGAGAAAAGCACTTCTGCAGCATAAGTACATTTACCTGGATGGAACAAACCCCAAGGGATGTTGAGTTTTGAAATACAGAAGTCTTTTCTTAGATTCCTACACTTATATCTGGGACAATGAGGAAGAACAGTGGTAAAATTTCTCTGCCTATGCAAGTTCCCTGTCTCTGGGAGTTGCAAGGAGTCAATTTTTGGTTTAGGTTGGGAGGAGTTTTTTTTCTTTTTTTTCTTCCTCCTTTTTAAATGTAGTTCAGCCAGCCATTTGGAAGATGAAGATAAGATAGCACTGAGGTTGTATGCAGACTCAAGTCAGGAGGACTTGTAGGCCTCTCTGCTCACAACGAAGTGTTGCAGTGTGCACCTCTTGGGATCCATGATGAAGGCATGTATTTGATTCCAGTTTCAGTGCTTTTCTCTTGGTTTCTGAGGCTGTATTCTTGCTAAGGAAGCAGGAAGATGTTTCGGTAGTATTAGAATGAGCAATCAATGTTGGAACTAACACCTTTGCTGTGAGCTGGGCAAGAGCGCTTCAGAAATGGCACGTGGTTGTCGTTAAGTGCAGTGAAAAGCAGCAGTATCTTCTAAAAAAAATTAACTTCCAGGATTTCCTGTGGAGCTGACTATTTTCTTGATCTTCATGTAAGTGCTCAGTATTAGTGTTCATAAAAAGATTTTAGTGCTAATCCTCCTGTAGGTTCCTTTGAAATACAATGTTAACTTTTTTTCTTTACTCCCATAAAAGTTCTTAATGTGCCTCCTACGCTTCTTTCAGTGAACACACAGTCTCTGATTTATTAATGCACAATGTGTCCTAGAAATCAGTTTAACTGATTCCCATCCATCATTCAGCACCACTTCTATTATTTTGCAGAGCGGATGTCTTTGAAGCCTATTTTGTATATACAGGATGATAGTTCTGTCTAACTTCTTTGAAAAAGAGATAGAACTCACCAGTTTTATTATTTATGATTGAAGGGTGCATTGGTAAGAGCAGAGCCAGAAATCTACTTTCCATAAAAACGCTGAATGCTGTTTTTTAGAAGCTGCCTTTCATTTACACTTCTTAAGTTTTAGGAAATAAATTTAATGATCAAGAAAGGACTGGCAACACCAGTTAAAACAATGTTTAAGGCCAGGTCTGTGTACAAAAGCAAGGTCTGTAATCATACACTGTGCTTTACAAATTAATCTAAACTGAAAAGTTATTTCTTGGAGGCCTGGAGCAAAGCTGATACTTATCCCAGGAATCCTTCTGTTCTGCCATGTCATGTCTGTCCAATGCTCCTAGCTGCCTGTCTTGAGGCACTGATCTCTGCTGAACACAAAATGCATTGATTGTCACTTCTGCTCTGTGACATTATTGAAGCCTATGTAGAAGGATGTAGAGCTAGTATTTGTTATGCTACGTCAGCCGTAACATAGTGCCTGTACCAAAACAATCTCATGGTCTCTGATGTTCAAAAGCAAGCAATGTCAGGGGAACAAAGACAAGCCTATTACTTGAGGACTTGTTTCATTTGGAACCTCCCCTAGCTAAATACTCCCTGACCTACATCTGGAGCTTGACTGCAATTAGGAAATAACTATGTCTGCTGTGTTGAGCAAATCAGGAGAGAAGCTCTCAAAACAAGTCAGCAGTGGGTTATACCTAAGCTAGAGATACTTAAAGCAGAATCCAGCAGTTCACATTCAAACAAAGAAAGTGAGAGACATGATAACTTTCTGGTGCTTAATCCTACACCCTGCTCAGAAAGCTGACTGAAAACAGTTCCCTTAAAGCAGACCTCTGTGGGTTTGCTGATGGAGAAACTGAGTTACCAGACTGATCCATAATCAGCAGTATTATGCACTGAGACAGTTGGGATGGCCATGCTAGAGTCAGGCAGTCTCTCATCGTTAAGTAGGAGTTTGCAAAGCCTCAGATTACAGTCTGAGTAGGAATTAACTCTGTTTTTCACAGGGATTAAATCTCAGTGAGACTCCACTAGCAGGACTCCTTTTTGCTCTCTCACAGTGAGGTGGTGTCCACAGCTCTGTATCTTTTCCCAGATCTTGTGGTGTTGATGTGTTTATAACAAGCAGCAGCACTGAAGTTAGCTAAGAGGCAGGTAGTGTGTTGGCACTGAGGAGAACTTCAGCAAGCAGTTCGTGGCCATCCCACACAATTGACACGTTGCTGCGGTATTCAGTTTGCTCTGTATAAACTGTTAAACAACGAGTTAGGATTGCCAGCAAGCATTGTCAGTTTGGGAGTATGAAAATGTGTGCATCAGCATCTCTAAAATAAGAGAAAAAGTAGAAGCTTTGAGTCTGGAAAAGATTTGCAGATAGGCAGCACCCACTTGCTTTAATCGAGACTGCAAGAGAAGAGCTGAAGGTGACCTGTAAGGGTATAAAAGCTGATGTGTGTAATAGCAGAACAGGGATTAAAAGACCTGAGGAAGGGAGCTGACTATCAATGCTTGCTAGTGAGAAGAGGAAGCTGCAGCTTTTGGATGAGTAGAGACCTCTTCACTATTCAGTAAGAACCCATACTGATTGAATGCAGTTTCCTCCTTTCTGGCTAAACAGAGACAGATGGAATATTACAATGAACTTCAGCCTTTTACTGCTTTAGTCAGTACAAAATTAGAGGGAACAGGTCAGCCTTGTGAATGCAGAGGAAATAGTTCAGAGGTGCAGCATATGAACAGCATAAGAACAACAACATCTCCTTTTTCATAAGATATATTATTCCTGTTTAGAAGCAGATTCTGGGCTTCGTGAAGCCCCAGAGGGTGTCTGTTGTGAACTCTGGAACAGGTAGATGAATGGTGGCTGAATTTAACTAATATTTAGCATAAAGAAGCCTTCATTAACTGATGAACTGAAGAAGAACAAAGAGAAATCGAGGTTGAATAACCCCGCTTCTCCTCTGAAAGGGAGAGCAATGACATGGAAATCAAATGACATACTCCTTACATGGGAATAAATTTCTGGCCAATGTGCTGAACAAAGATATCAGTGCTTGATTTGTTTTCCAGGTTGTACCTGTGCTGGCAAACTTCATTTTTGACAAGCTATTGGTAGTTGCTGGTGCTAGGATTCATGGGTGGTTTATGCCAAAGGGTGAGTCCCACTCTTGGCATTTGAGCTCTGTGCTCTGCATGCAATGTAGTTGTCAACATTTGGGCTCATGACCTTATTCTGAGTGACACATCCTATCCTATGCCCTGGAAAACCCATATGTGCACAATCCACTGTTGAACAGAGTTCATAGAGAGGACATACTATTCATATAAAACTTGTTTTGAAATCTTTGGTCTTTGCCCTTTACCTATTTATTTGTAAGTTTATTTACAAGTCTGTACTCTGTGTCCATTTGTGTTTTGTTGATAAGTGACAAAACCAGATCTCAGTGCTCACACTTGTTTACTTCTAGTAGATGGTGTGGTATAGGTGCTAGGAGAGGTGAATCTATTGTAAAACAAAGCAAAAATATATTTCATTCAAAAATGAGCTTAGATAATTCTTCCAGTGATTAAAACTCCTTTGCATTGCATCCAAATATGAAATCAGGTAATAGTGCAATGTGTCCTAATCAAAGTCAGGGGTCACTTATTAGATGATCTCTTCATTTGACACAAATAGTAGGTGGCCAGGTAGTAGGGGACAGACAATTGCTACAAATAAAAAAAATACAACCAAAACCAACTTCAACCTAAACCAGCCTTTAAAAGTCAAGTCATTGGAAAGATGAATCCTGATGTACTTAGTCTGAGATTAAAGGCACCAGGCCAGAGTAGATAGAATACGCCGTGACTGATGAACTGCAGCTAGTCAGCTCCAAGTGTAAACAGTCACGTAAAGGGCAAGGTGGGAGAACTGCATGCAGAGGATTGCCTAGTACTTCACGTTGCTATGTAAACTTGAGTGGCAGAGAAGAACTAGGACAGGTTTTACTCTTATGACAACAATGTGAGTCATGCCGAAAAAACCTTCACAGCACACCTTTGTTTTTCCTGGTAAATAGTTTCAAAGGCTGAATGTGAAATTTGAATGCAAGTGGTTATTATTCCATTAAAAATAAAGATGTACTGCATCTGGCAGTATCCATATACTATGGCTATACTATGGATACTGGCGTATCCAGGCAATTTTAACATTTTTCCAGATCAAAATTGCACCAAGAAAACTTGTGCGAGAAACTTGCACTTACTCAGGAAAGAAACATTATTTGCCACTAGATGCTGAGCTGCATGTACAGATGCTGCTGCTTCGCCACATGTGAAGTTCTTCTGTGTTCTATAGTTGTCTGATTTTTTTTTTTCATGTGGATGTACTTTTCTTTTGAACGTATTTTCTCCATTTCTAAAGAAAGATCAACAAGTATGTGGCACACTGACATATCAGCAGTTATACAGGACAATTTTCCATGAGAAGGGTGCTAATTAAATTTGAATCAAAATGCATTTGAAATTGCGCTTGCCTTCTGGTGATATGTAACAAAAGTTAATAGCATATGAAAAGTGGGACACGTGTATGAAGTTTAGCCTTTTGTGGTGTGGCACTCAGGAAAATACTCTTCAAATTCGTGTTGTGGAATTTCACAGTGCAGTGGTTAATAAGTTTTTCTCTATTTCATTCCCCAGAGATAGAGTATACCCTTGGAGAAGAAATGTTGAATCACAGTCTGAACCAGTGATTGAACACCTGGTGGGAAGGCAGGGCCAACCCAGGGGAGCTCAGGTGCAAGCAATGAACCTGAGTGATTGAGAGGGCTGGAGCCAGGATCCACCCTTTCTAACACCTCAGTTAAGGGTTGGTGGTGGAGGTGAGGGTATCTTGCTGGAGATCCCTGCTTATCTGAGGTCTTCTGAAGGTAAGCAGCTTCTTTTCTTTATTTTTGTGGCCATTGTGTTTGAGCAAATCCTCGCTTGTTGCAGCCTGGGATCTTGCTGCTCTGCTGTCACATCTGTGCTTTCCATTGTGTTACAGCCCTAAATTGTGCTCTTAGTCTATGGTAGTTCTATGGGCTCCTTCCAGATCTTATTTAAAAGCAAATGGAAAATGGGAGAAGTAGATATGGGAGTCAGTAAGCTAAGGTTACAGAACATCCAGCTTCCAGGAGAGGTGTGCAATACAAAGGTGTTGACTGGTTTTCTCACTTGCTTAAGTCCTCTTTATCTTCAGGAGGGATTTGGTTTGTTGTTTATCTATCAAAGGATGATGGCAGGAGGAAATTTCTTAAGTGCTTGAATTTAAGAAACTCCAAGTACACTCACCTTCTAGGGGTTTGCTATTTACTGGTGTGGATACCTTTTCCCTTCTTAGTTTCTTGTCCTAAGGAACTCCCTGGTGTAGCCCCCAGCTGCTCTAGAAAACTCAGTGCACAGCTGTAGTTGTGGATTCCAAATTCAGTGACCAAACTTATGAGGTTTTCTTCTTGGGTTAGAGCCACGCTTTTCAAGCATGCGTGTGCAACTTCATCAGATCTGTTTCGTTTTCAGCTGATTATGATTATATTTGTACATGAAGCCCTATTGCAGGATAAATGCAGAAGTAACACAAAATGAAGTTGTATCAAAGCAAAAGAAAAAGTTTGGACTTCACAGTGTCAGCAATGTGTATTGCCTCCTTTGCGTTCCTTGATAGGCAACAGAAGTTCAGGGTTTCTGCTTTTGCTGTGCTGTTTGTTACAAGGCTATGCTGCCGAAAGAGAACTGTGGCTTCTTTCTCCTGTTTCTATTTCTTTTTCTTCTGTTTGTGGAACTTCTCTTTGTGAATGTAGTTCATCAGCTGGATGTATGTGAAGAGATGCAGCTTTGACAGCTAGAAATATATGGTTCTTCAAGCACAGCTGTTGAGAGGAGAATGCCATTTGTGCTTGACAGCTTATTACTTGGCCGTGGAGTAGCTTTTGATTAGTTTTAGTGTAATGTAGACGTTCTCCAGGTAAGAGGAGGTTCATGTAGAATTGGGATAAATGTTCTTAATAGGCTTTTTCATTTGATGAAGCAGTAATAATAAACTTGCAATTATTGTGTATTTATTTCTAGACAAGTCAATAATTTGCTTCCAAAGTGACTCAGTTATGTTTGGCCACTCATAATGAAAAGCTTTATTCTGATAAATTTACAGCACATGTCTTTTAATCTCTCATTGAAGACTGAAGTATAATGCCTAATGTGGTTCTTCCTTGTTATGTTTTGCTAAAAAAGTACTTGTCTTTGTAGTTCTGAAATGGATTAAATTAAACTTCACAGTACTGCTGTGAAGAGAGGAGGTAGGAAGTGCCCAGGATCATTGAATCATCACTGGAAAGCCGTTTAGCTCTTCATAAACACTCCGGTAATCTCAGTGTACTAACCTGTGGGCAGAACATAAAGAAAATGATATAAAATCCAATTTAACTTCAGGCTCTTTCATCTCATAAACAAGAAGAATTTGTGGATCTGCATAGATGCAATAGGACAAAACATGTAATGCGAGCCCTTTTTTGTGGATTTAGTTTAACCAATTTCAGCCATGTGCCCAGTCACCTGAGGGGGATGCTCCAAGAACTACTGAAGTCACAAACCTCTTAACTAATTTTGTTGATGCTAATTTAAATTCTTGTAATAAATTTCCACTAGAAAAAGGTCAGAGGGAAATGAGAAATGCTGGTACTTAATGCTCAGGAGATATAGAACTAGTCTGATTTGCTGGGGAGCTTGTGCCTTTTAAAATTCCACACTTATGAGCAGTCCTATGAATGTTTTGGTCAGTTGCTGCCATTTAATGAAATCTTCTGAATTCATGGCATCCTTAAGAACCCCGCGGAGCATCTAGTTGATGACAGGACTTGGACCAAATGACTCGGTGTCTCTGGGTGATGGACGACTGAGAAGTCTGCTTTATAAAAGCTCTGTGACTTCAAGGCTGTATGCACACAACTTAGTTGTCATACCAGCACTTCTGTATCTGAATGTGCTGGAGCAAGATGCCCTCGGATGGAGATGGAAAGCCACAAACTTTATATTAAAACATCCTCATTTGATTGAGGGGTTCATTTGGTAATTAGTAATGAAAACCATGCTTGTGACCTACCGTTAACACTAGAAGGAAAGTTTTTGGAAGCCAGCTGTGATGAAGGTCTACAGCTTGATTCACTTGCCTATACGTCCACAAATGACCTTATTTTAAATGACTTAAGATATCCAATCTGACCTTCAGCTGCTGCTCCAGATCTGCCATGTGACTGTCTCTGATACTGTAGAGAATCTCAAAGGCTTTTAACTGACCCACACTCCTTGAAGAGTAAGGTGGGAAAGTCTGCTTGTTGCCAATGCAAAGATGTTATCATGATTGCTCTTTCTTAAAAGCTTTGCTGTGGAAGAACAGCTTTAGTTAAAAGCTCAGTTTGGTGGGGCTTCTATTTATAGAGGTCACCTGGAAGATAGCAAGTATCAGCAGTACTCAATCCTTGGCTAGACTAGGTGTTCTTCAGTACTGAGCTAGGATGTTCTAGGTCCTTCATTTATTTATTTATTTATTTCTGACCATTTGTGCTCTCTAGACAACTGTTATATTTGGATAGGTCTCAGGTTGAAGATCACTGCAGTCATTCACTCTTCCGATCATCCTGGACATCAGATTCGTGTGAAAATGAAATTGCCTTGTCATGCTCATTTCTGAATAGAAACATTTTGCATGCCTCTTATGTCTATAACTGGGCTTTGGGTCAGATACTTTGAATGCTCAAGATTTTACTCTTTAGCTGTGGCAGAGTACATCATTGATTTATCTGTCTTGAGTGTTTGAAACTGCAAGGAAGAGCAATTTTCACAATATGAGTGAGAAACCTGAGATTGTGGGTTCCTCAGCACAGCAACTGCAGAATTATGTATGGTGACTAGCTAGTTAGAGGTTAAGGTAACTTGGTCTTTTTAATTTAAAAATGTAATGTGAGATAGTAAGTTGAAGGAAACACTGTATGGTTGTACACGACACTGGAATAGGGGACTTGCACTCAGTGTTGTTACAGGAACTCGCCACAAGCAAATTTTACTGGCTCATTAAAAACTGCCTTATTAAGAGCATGGTGAAAAATGGATATTTAAGATTTTTTGAGTACAGAAATAATTTACTTTTAATGAAAACTTTATTTCTTGACCATCTTAAGCTATACATCTTAAACCCTGTTTTACTTGCTCTGTTATTACCAGAAATGCAGCGTAGTGAAACATGAAGTACTCTTAAAAAAATAAAATAAAAAATCACAAACATTACTGGAGTCTTCTATGGGCACTTGATGTTGAAACATCTTTACTAGCAGTTTATAGTCACTTAAAATGTCATTGTCCTATAAGGTCAATTGCTTTTGCAACTTCACTAATGGGAGTTACATTGCCTGCCCTGTATTGCATGAAATCTTTGTATACTCATTTAGAGTCATATGCTTCTTCCATTTTAAATACTCTTACATATGTTATAGGAACTAGAACTTTTTAAGCAGGCTTTTTAAAATCTGATGTAACTTTTTGTACAGTCAATGAATATACAGATGATATAGTATATCCAGGAGCTTGGCTGAAGTAGTTATTATACTGGAGTAGGAAAGAAGGATGCTCACCCTACCCTGGGCTCACATGGGAAACTCCAGTGGAGTGGATCTCCAGAAGAGAACCTTCCCACCTGCAGTCAGCTCTTAAATGGGTCTAGGAGAGGTGCAGCCTCGCTCCACGCCTTCCTGCAGCACAGCTGAATTGCCTTCACCTGTGCTCCTGTGGCTGACTCAGTGCTCACCTCAGGTGATGAATGAGAGTTTCAGGCTATGATTCAGCAGCCTCTTTTTAAATTATATTTGCCTTCCCTTTGTTTATTTCTAGAGCTGTTAGAGGCACATAAATGAAAATGCTTTTGTAATATAATTGATGTCTGCCTATAACGTGGATCTTGTCATACTCAACTTTTACCTCTGTTCTTATATCACTCTACTTTTTTAGCAGAGTTGAAGAGGATAGTGTCTACTCTTGATAGCTCGGGTACAAATAAGGATCTATGGAGAGTCCTAAATGAAATCATTTATCTGCTCTAAAACTATACTGCGAGGACTGTTATGCTTTCAGCAGAGGTTTGTAGGGGAGGAGAAGAGATCAGAATGAAAAACTGAAGTGTTGAGTCATATGACATACTTGCGTACAAGCATCAATAAATAGACTTTTCAGGGGCATTTGCTGGTATGTACTCCTCCCGAGTGTGAGTACAGAGGTATGCTGTCTGCCAGTGCCCATTGGGTGGTTCAACATGCAGCTACACACGCTAGCTTAACAGAATGCACAAAATGTAATTCCTGGAGGCATAAATATATGTACTGAGAATATAATTCCTTAGGAGCAAGCAAACTGATTGTTTGACTTAAATTGTTTCTTAATTGAAACACAAAACAGCTCCTCTTTAATCTTCAGACTACTTGAAATCATGTCTAGTAGGGAATATATGAATGTCAATATATGAACTGCATCTTTGAGGAATGATGTCTCTACTTTTTTTTCCAGTAACAGATGCCGTTTGGATTAAGAAACAGGGATTCTTTTCACAGCAGCAATATCTGATGAGGTTATCAAATTCTGTGAAATTAAAGAGAATGTGACAGTGACATCAATCAGATGTTATTGCTGCACATACAAATTCATTTGCTAGCCCAAGTGGTAGTTCATTTTTGTACAGCTGGGAAATTCCTTTCAAGATTTGCTAGTAGCTCAGCAGCGTTTGAGTGGATTTGTGTACATAAATGACTTATATGGGTGGCAGTACAAAGCTATACAAATCTGGAACTGTTTGCTCCCGATCTGAGGCTTTCTATCATCAGAGCTTTGTCTTTTTGGGCTGTGTTAGGCA